CCAGGGCCAAAGGATGACGACGTCACAAAGAGTGAGTCCAACAGCGAGGCCAGTCAGAAAAGCACTGAACGTAGCCAGGACGCCGCGCCTTCAACACTCATGGCCGAGGACCAGAGGGGCCAAAGGGAGCATGCCTCAGCTGCTGATGCAGACCCTGACCTGGAGGACGCTTCCAAAACCCTCGTCCTCTTCTCACCTGGAGACACTCGCAAGTCTCCCTCTGGTGGTGATCACGTTCTAGAGGCTGAGTTGGCCACACCATGTGCCCTCATTTCCCGTAACGACCGCCTCCTGGTCGGGGAGGGGATCCAGCCTGAACCCTCTGAGACCGGCCGCTTGTCCCCTGCTCTCAGGTCAGACCTTAGGCCCTCCACTCCCATCGCTCCTGCATCACCACCCTTCACCAAAGTTGAGCGCACTTTCATCCATATTGCAGAAACATCACACCTCAATGTCATGTCTTCAAATGGCCACTCTGCCAAGGACAGTGACCGGGAAGTCTTGGACATCATGAATGCATTGGCTGTAGAGGAGGACACCTATGAGCAGGGGCCAGCACCAGTGACAGAAGAGTCACCACAAGAGTCCGTACCAGACCAAACTGCAGCCGTTGATAAACATACCACAACTGAGAATGGTCCGTCAACTGGCCTGGTCCAGTCTTTGGAGCCTGTCCCAGAAGCCACGTCACCAGTTCTTGAACACAAAGGTTTGTCACTGGAACATAAGAAACAGCCATCACCCAGCGAAGAAGCTGCCAAGCTTCAGACAACCAGTTCCGAACAACCGGCTGCCGTAAAGCCCAGAATCCGAAGCCGAATTCCAATACTGATCTCTGAAGAAGACTCGGGCTCGGAGCAGTCCTCCTCCCTCTCGGCTCGGGCTCGGCTTCAGCAGCGGGCCAGGCAGCTGGACTTGGCTCGCATGCTGGTGCAGAAGCAACAGGGTCGCTGGATGAGGAGGAGGATGCTGTCCGGGACTTCGTCATCACTGTCCTCTGGGGACGATGAGCGCCGAAGGGCTTCGGAAACACTGTCTACAACTGGCTCAGAGGAGGACACGCATACCTCGGACGAGTCCAGGAGGAGCTCCCGTCTCAAACCGACTGAAGAGCAAGGCTCCAAGGAGTGCCGGAGCAGGATCCCTAGGCCCGTCACTCCCATAAAGAGGCCTTCAGTGGGGCTTGCTGCTGCTGCTCCTTCCCCTCTCTCCTTGCCAGACTCCAGCACTACCAAAGGAGCATCATCCTTCACAAACGGGTATGATTCAGTTTGTCCCTTTTAGCGTATACAAGTTTTCATTTTGAAGCAGTTTGATTAAATATGTTGCTAAAATTTAAAGAAATAACACCTTCAATTTACACTTTTGTCCACAGGAATCAGAAAATTGGACTAAGCACTCAACGCAAATCCAAACCTGTCTCACCCAGGTCCTCCTCCTCATGTCCCCGTCCCGCCACTGCCCCTGCCACATCCGGCAGCCCTCGAATGCCCCTGCGAGTCCTGTTTGGAACCCGACGCAGCCTTAGCTCCACCCACTGCAGGACTGACAGCCCCTCCCCTCAGAGAGTATGTCCATCCAGGCAGCCCCTCTCGGTTCGAGCCCCGACCGTCCCCGTGCTACCGCCCAGGACTACATCAACCATGCGGCGCAGCGCCTCGCAGGAAGCCACCGCCCAGACGTCCTCTGGCACCACGCCCGCCAGGACCAGGCCGAAACCAGCCGCCGCAGCCAAGGGGAAGCCAAATGCCAGGGAGAAAGCGGTACCCGCTAGATAATACAAAGAGACTCATCTCTGAGACATGTTTGTGTATAATCAGTCTTCGGACAAGCTACGCCTCAAAGGTTCTCACCTGATTCCATGTTACACTGTAATGTTACAATGACCACCTTCAATTAATTTAATGTATACGGACCTCTTATATAAGGACAGCTTACTGAACTATCTTCATGGGCTTCCAGTAATCTTAGCTGACTGTCGTACAGGAGCATTGCCGCCATGGTGCTATGAATACGTCTGCCGCTCCCTGGTTAATCCCTGATTAGACTGGTTTCTGGAGCTGGGAATCATGGCCTCTCACCTCACACAGCACTACCAGCTTGTCCACAGCTATACAACTCTTCTATTGACAGGACCTCGCTCGGTTCACACTGCATGGTGAAGTATATCACAAATACATTCAATCTGTAGAGGGAAAACAACATGTACAAAAAGCTGTACCTTTAAATAATTTGATATAGTTCTCCCCGTCCTATTGGGATAAACAGGCCAAGAAGAAAAGATCAGATTGGACTGGTTTGAATGCCCGAACTATGTTAATATGATAGTAGATTCCTAATTATATCCTGTACTCATTATGGCCTTGGATAGAAGATAAAGAGAGTTGGATGTGAACACAAAATAAATCGCTCGGCCGCTCGCCTCCTCCTCATGGTGTGACAATGGGCATGCTTTAATCATTCTATTTTCTGGGTGTTTTTATTTTCTTTATGCTCTGAATTGTATATAATAGAATCATTTCCCATAAAGACATCTTTATTTTTATCTTGCCAAGCAAAATGTAAATTTCAAGTCTTTAACCTTCTGTTCCAGTGTGTTGGCACTATGCCTGTTTTTTTACGCATGAGAAAAACAGGGTTAACCATGAGAGGAAGTTATACCTGCTTGGATTCTGCTGACAGTGCAAAGATCTGCTGGTTGTTGGGAGCCCACGGTGTGTTCGTACGGGGTCGCTGGGCACTGAGCTGTGAAGTAAAGTCTTGGTCATGTGGACGGGTGTCTTGTCATTCTTTTCTCAATGCATTTCTAGTCTCTGCGACACACTGAGCCTAAGTGCTCAAACAGAAACTAACATTCACACACCAGCGGAACCACCACCAGGGGCAATTCAAGGTTCAGTATCTTGCCCAAGGACACTTCCACATGCTCCGATTAACGGGCAACCCGCTCTACCTCATGAGCCACAGCCGCAACGGTTTCCAGTAAACCCAAGGACACAACCTGATCTAGATCCAGACTCTCAACAACTGGCCTCAGGTCTGTTTAAGTCCAATAAAGAGTAACCTTCACTCATAAGTATTCCCCCCTCGGAAGTTTTTAAGGTTTCGTGTTTTATACTGAGCCCCTGAAAGGACAATACTTTTGTTTGACAGTATCAGCCTTGTTCTGTTCAGCTCGGCTGTGTTTCCACATTAAAAGGCTCGGGCACTGAATAGGCCTAAATATTCATTCCACCTCACTTTAAAAAACTTCTTGTCACTTCAAAAATTAGATTAATTTATTTAACACACTCAAAGTGTCCAAACATTGTTTTAAATTAACTTCATAAAGCAACGAAACGAAAAATCCATTCATGCCATAAAATGTGCTCAGATAGTGGCTGAAAGACTGAATCTGAACTTCTAAGCTGCTGAAAACTCTCCTCAACAATAATCAGTCTCTGTAGGATGATGTCGCTTTAGCCTACAAGAGTTTCTCCACATCACCGCTGCAAACATCAAGCAGCCTGTTTGGCTGAAACAGTCTGTGGGATTTCCTACAGGTGGTGATGTCATTTTCCAAGAGAGCTGATTGGTCAGTAGGCGGGTTTTTTTACAGAGTCGATCTCTCCTCCGGAGCAGGTCAGCCGTTCAGCATCAGTTACCATGGAGATCTATCACAGTAAGAAGTGAACCACCTTCGTGGTGCTGAAAAGCCAGCAGGGTTAACCCCGAAGTTACCCGGATAAACTCAGATCCTGCTTCGTGGTGCAGACACCTGGGCATCAAATGCCGACGCCTCCAGAAAGCCTGACAAAGCATCTGTATTTGACACGTAAGTTACCCTTCAGAGTCCGTATGAGACGCCCTGGGCTTTTAAGTAGGGTAGAGTGGGGTAAGATGCCCCCCCCACACACATGGTGTGACATCACTTCAATAGGTGCAAATTACAGATAAAAATAAACTACGTAGCTGGTTAAAAGCAAGAGGATTATAGACTGTTGTAGAAATAAACTGAATTCTATTTTTTGTTAGAATAACCGTCTCATCACCCCATGTTACCCTAACTCTAATTTAATCCATCTGCCTTAATGTACTTAATTCAACCTAAACATTACCAAGTAGTTTGGGTGCTTAAACCTAACTAAACTGCATATACTGTATATAGGCTTCCACATAGTGTAGTGTAGTCTTTAGAAATATGTGGGAATATCTGCTGACAATAAGACAATTATTATTATTATTATTATCATTATTAGCAATATTATTATCATTATTATCATTATTATTATTAGTATTATTATTAGCATTATTAGCATTATAATAATTATTATTATTAGCGTTATTATTATCATTATTATATATTATTATTATTATTAGCGTTATTATATTATTATTATTAGTATATTATTAGCATTATTAGCATTATAATTATTATTATTAGCGTTATTATTATTATCATTATTATTATTATTATTATTATTATTAGCGTTATTATATATTATTATTATTATTATTAGCGTTATTATTATCATTATTATTATTAGTATTATTATTAGCATTATAATAATTATTATTAGCGTTATATTATTATTATTAGTATTATTAGCATTATTAGCATTATAATAATTATTATTATTAGCGTTATTATTATTATCATTATTATTATTATTATTATCATTATTATTAGCGTTATTATTATTATTATTATTATTATTATTAGCGTTATTATTATCATATTATTATTAGTATTATTATAGCATTATTAGCATTATAATAATTATTATTATTAGCGTTATTATTATATCATTATTATTATCATTATTATTATTATTATTATTATTATTATTATTATTATATTATTATTATCATCATTATTATTATTATTTATTATCATCATTATTATTATCAGCATTGTTGTTGTTTTGTGCTGGATTTGGGGAACAGGGTCAGTCTTGGGTCGCAGTTCCTCTCATCGTCCACCAGGTGGCGACGATGACGCGCCGGAAACCGTGATGACGCAGCGTTGATGACGCAGGTCCAAGATGGCGGTGCAGGTGCAGCTGTGTAGTCTGGAGAGTTTCCCGTCGCACCTGAGTCCTCTGGATGTTTTGATGTTAAAGTCTCACCTGGACTCGGTTTTCCGGAACGACACCGACCCTCCCACCGTCCTCTTCACCCCGCAGCGGCCTCCGCGTCCCGGGAGCCCGCCGGGCATTTTACTGCGCGTTCACCCGACCACCGAGGAGGAGACCGCGGGCTGCGGAGGAGCCGAGTCCGGGAGCCGCGTCCGGCTGTTCGCCAGCCGCCTCTTCACGCGGCACCACGGGCTCCAGCGGCTCGGCAGCACGGGGACCGTCCGGGCTCTGGAGCCCGTCAGCCTGGACAGAGTGGTGCTGGGAGCCCGCAGCAGGCAGAGCCTCCGCCGGGCCGGAGCGGAGCGGTTCACCGGCGGGCTGCTGGAGCTCTGCCGCCCGGGACAGTGGCTGCTGGCCCGGCGGGGAGAGCCGCTGCTGCTGGGAGACGAGCCGGGACAGGTAAAGTCAGGGGCGTCTTTTCCTCTGGGGACCCAGGGGACCCAGGGGACATGTGCACAAGAAATGATCAATAACAATGAAAAGTAAAAAGGAAAGTTCGTGTTTCCTTTTGTGTAAATAAGAAAGTTTCCACCATAAATTGGTGCAGAAAGTGTTCAAAATGTTCTCAGCATTTAATATCCCTTCCAGATGGTATTATAGCATCAGCTTCGTTTTCCTCCTCACTGGTGTAAAGCAGGTTGCTGAGCTGGAGCTCATTTTAACTTTTAATCTGCTGATTATTGTCTTTATTTATCAATTATTTATTTTTTTAATTCTGAAAATAGTGAGAGATGCCGTCACAGTTACTCGGAGTGACTCCATCACAGTGTTTCAGCTAAACTTTATTACAAATAAATTAAACTAGTTAAAAGGAAAAGCAGCAAATCTTCACATCTGTGGACCCTGAAATATTTTTACATGAAAAATGTTAAATGAAATATCTCTGAGGTTATTCCGAATAAAAACTTCCTTTTAAACATCTATATTTGGTTTAAATAAAGTTTCATTTATTTAATAATTTAATTTAAAACCAGTTTTGTTCCTTGTGTCAGCAAAAGATGTTTTAAACTATTAAAACAAATTTATGATTAATCAAATATTTTGGATAAATCTTCAATAAATTTAATATTATATTTGTTAAAATATGGACAGATGCTCTTCACTTTTTCCAAGATCACGTTTTAAACGGTCTGAAAACTTTCTGTCTCAACAAACTAGTAAAAAGCTTTTAAGAGGTTTTCTTGAGGACATAAACTAAATATTTGTTCTTTGAGTTTAAATGTTCTGTTTTAATGTTTTATATGACAAATAAAATGTGACCGTAACGTGCAGCCGTCCCAACAATCCACAGAAACTAAACATGAACGGAAAATATTTTAAATCACTAATATGTTTATTAATAAACGATTGAAATACGGCGGCAGTTTGTTTCCTGCTTACGATTATTTTATTATCAATCCATCTGATTATTTTCTCGATTTAATGCTTCGTGAAAACCGACCGATTAATCGACTAATCGTTGTTTCCAGCTGACGGAGCTGCTGGTGTTGGACTGCAGTCCTGTGACGCAGGGTCGGATCACGGCCGACACGTCTCTGGTTCTGACAGACTGCTGGGACTCGGTGGACCCCCCGGGCGCCCCCCCGCCCTGCAGACCGCTCAGACTGTGCGTGTCGGACTTCGCTCATTACGCCGACGGCCTCGGAGGGGGGCGGTCTCTGCTGGACAGCCGGAAGCTGCTGGGCTCGGGGTTCTCGGGGGTCCTGCAGGCGCTGGAGTGCAGGCTGGACGTCCGGGTGGCGGACGCTCGGCGGTGGCTCGGGGTCGGAGGTCAGCGGGGCGCGGCCGTGGACGCGGACAGCTGTGTGTTTGTGAGCAAGCAGCTGCTGCTCAGGCTGGGGCTGTTTCACCAGGAGTGGGTGAGACTGTCCAGGCCGGGCGGGTCCTCCAGACCTCCTGCTGACCAGACCGAGGTCAGGGGGGCCCCCGTGTGCAGAGAGCGACTGGTCTCTGTGCTGGCGGTGGATTTATCACAGAGTCCAGACCTGAACCAGAACGGAGAAGTTGGTTTCATATCGGGAACGTTGTGGTTCAACATGACTGAAGGAGAAGAGGTTCCCGTGAACAGCTGCACACTGAGGATGAAGGTGCTTCAACACACTCACACGACACACACCAGTGGCCCCCAACCTGGGGGTCGGGGCCCCTGCGAGGGTCATCTGCACCCTCTGCAGGCCCAACAGGCAAACTGCTTCAAACACTCACCTGCAGACCGACCCTGTTGTATTTGACAGTACATTTAAGTACTGTAGTATTTTCTACTTCTGCTGCACCACATCTCAGATGTTGTACTTTTTACTTCCCTGTATTTATCTGACAGCTTCAGTTACTTCAGATGTGCGAGCCGTGTTGTCTGCAGTCACTCAGAGTGTTCGCAGCGTGCAACGCCATTTAGTCTCTGCTGACTCCGGTTGTGCAGAGTCGGCGTGTGAAAGTCATCAGGGGACGTAGCGTAACGAACGAATATGCAAACCTATGTGCACGGCTGTATGTGTGGAATCGGTATCTGTACCCTCGTAGATACCTGAGATAAACACATTATGGTGTAAAAGCCAGAATTATGAGAGTAAATAAAGGCGAGGTCGTAAAACATCCTACTTTAATGCGTCACATGATAAACACGTGATGTAAGGCCAGAAGACTTTTACTGTGGCGTTAAGAAGTGAGTAACACCAGTTGGGGGTTTGTTGTTTTGTCTCAGAGGTGGAGGCCGTCACCTCCGGTGCCCGGCGCCCGCCGCTCTGACAGTTTCTGCCGCTCAGCTTCTCCGCCGTTCGCCAGCGAGCTTCACATCCAGCCGGTCGTCTCTCCGCTGTACAACAACCTCAGCTGCTACGACAACCTGCTGTCTGAACACTTCAGGACGCCCAGGTCAGCATGTCGTTTCATTCACTGTATACTAACTATAATGATGGTTATAATGTGCTGCGTTTGCAGGTAGAACTCAAGAAATCAACATACTTTTACTGCTTAACAGGAAATCAAACCTGCGTGTGCTTTAACACCTTCGCACATAGTGCTCACTACAGCGCACAGCTATTCAGAAGCCGTTTACTTGAATGGGCAGAGGTTCTGATGGTCTAGTTGCACATCAGCCACTACAGCGGACGTTTGTGCGTCATGCCATACGCTGCCCCCCTGTGGTAAGCTGTTGTAAGTGCAAACCAAGATGGCCGACAGATGATCAGAAACGCTGAGCAGCTCGGGTAAATCTTGCCGCTCCTCCAATTATAGGAGACCCCTGCAGGTAAATAAAATTTGGTTACAACTAAGGTGTAAAACAATTGTTAAAATTTCCACATATTGATTTATGTTGGGAGGAAATTATGATTGGACATTATGCATCGCTGGCTATATTTCAACTATTACTGAGGTTGTTTTTCCTGAAAATACTTATTGTGCACCAACTTGTTTTGGATGTAAATCAATGGATTTATGTTACACTTGCAGTTTTTATAACAAAAACTATATTTTGTGCAGATTAGTTACATTATGTGAGTAACATTTAGTGTTTTGCAGCCAGTAATAGAAATGCATTCAGGACGGTGAAGCAAATTCCATCAGAATAAGTTGAGGAGAATACTCGTGGCAGTGATGATGAATGGCTGAATGCCCAAGTGCCAGCAGCAGTGAAGGTGGAGTCAGAAGTGAGGTTCAGCGTTTTTGCACTGCATTAAACTGTATTAGAATATGTTAAAATATGTGACCACATTAGTTTAACAGCATTAAAGATGTATTTTTATATACTATAATTTTCTTCATTGGTTTGTTAAATAAATATTTCTTCCTTGCTGCACTTTAGTGATATTCTAATTTTATTTTTCACACCTAAAGTGCAAAAAAAAAAAACCCATAGGAAAACAATCCTGACAGAGGCTGACATAACTGATGCATGTAAGGGTTAAAATCACAAGCAGAAGAATTTTCTGATAGCTTTCTTCATCTGTGTCGCCACCATTTACTATTAATCGTAACGTTTTAGGAAATCTGTGTATGGTTCTTTCATTATTTCGTTTCAAAACCAAATCGGAAAAACCCATAACTGAAAACAAAGGAGCTCAAGCATGTTTGTCTTTTTATTTTATATTATTATTTTATTATCATATGTAGCCATTTTGCTACAATTACGCTTCACACAACAGCTGCAGCTATGTTCTTTTCTCTGTGAGAGGGAAGCATTTCGAAAGTAGCGTGGCGCTGCAGAGAGGCCCAAGCTGCAGGAGTGCATGGATCATGGTGATATTCATCCAGCCAGAGGGAACAATCACCAACCGTTCACAGCGTGTCAGTCACAATAGTGACACAACCCGTACCGGAGAGGAAGAGGAGCGGACCGGGGACAGGAGAGGAAGTGGAGAGGACGGGGACAGGAGAGGAAGTGGAGAGGACGGGGACAGGAGAGGACGGGGACAGGAGAGGACGGGGACAGGAGAGTGCAGAGCGACCGGCCCGCTGTGGACGGTCAGTGTTCGTTCCCTCTGGCTGATGCTCCTGATTTCATGCATAATCCAGCTGGAGGTTCTGTCAGTCCAACAATAAATTGTCTCGACAGCTTTTTGATCAGTTCGTCATCTCATCTAAAGCAGAGACAGCACCAGTCTACCTGTCCAGTACTTTTAAACTGATGATAGACGCTGACCTGCTAAATGTTTCCCTGCTGACTGTAGGTACACCCACAGCTTGACGTGGTCTCTGTCGTTGCCTACATCACAAGTTACAGCTAAATTCAGGGAATGCTTTCATGTAATTTTGGTTTTGAAAGTGCGACATAAGCTGCGTTTCCACTGAAAGTGCCCGGAACTTCCTGCCCGTTGTTGCCACCACTGTCTGAAGACCTGCGAAGATTAGGCAAATTAACGAGCCGACTTTGTGGTATGCCAAACAAAACGTCATTATTTATGCGACACTGTCCATTATACGATATTATCATAATACTTATGTCACGATACTTCTCTTCCGAGAACACTTCCACTGATAACACCTCTAACATGCACTTCCTGTGCTCTTCTTCTTCTATCCCCTACAATGATCTTGTATTGATTGCACTTTTTGTTAACTCTTACTTCCTTCCCTCGGTATCTACCCCATTGATGTGATATGAACTGTGAGCTCTTACTAGTATGTATTGTCAGTTGTAGATCTGTAGTTGATACTTGTATGTTGTTCCTCAAATGTAAGTCGCTTTGGATAAAAACGTCAGACGTCAAATCAGTAAATGTAATGTAATGTATGTCACGTTAACATATTATCACGATACTTATGTCACGATAACATATTATCACGATACTTATGTCACGATAACATATTATCACGATAACATATTATCACGATAACATATTATCACGATACTTATGTCACGATAACATATTATCACGATACGATATTATCACGATACTTATGTCACGATAACATATTATCACGATAACATATTATCACGATACTTATGTCACGATAACATATTATCACGATAACATATTATCACGATACTTATGTCACGATAACATATTATCACGATACGATATTATCACGATACTTATGTCACGATAACATATTATCACGATAACATATTATCACGATACTTATGTCACGATAACATATTATCAAGATACGATATTATCACGATACTTATGTCGCGATAACATATTATCACGATACTTATGTCGCGATACAATATTATCACGATACTTATGTCGCCAATACTCATGCCACGAAACGATATTGTCACGATACTATATTATTGCAATACAATAGTATCACAATACTTATATCACGATACGATATTATTGCAATACGATATTATCACGATACCTATGTCACGATACGATATTATTGCAATACGATATTATCACGATACCTATGTCACAATATATTATCACGATACCTATGTCACGATACGATATTATTGCAATACGATATTATCACGATACCTATGTCACAATATATTATCACGATACCTATGTCACGATATATTATCATGATACTTATGTCACGATACGATCGTATCATGATACGTATGTCACGATATGATATTATTGCGATTTTAAACATGTTAGAATATATTACCTTTTTTCCAACTTCAAATTGTTTCCCCAAAGGAAAACTCTTTTTCTCGTGGACTGAAGAAGCAATTGATTTTATTATTATAGTACCAAAAAGTAATTTTCTCATGTACAATTTATATTTAAAAAATCGATACTTGACCTCCGCGTATCGATACAATATTGCCACGTAAAATATTGCGATACTCTGCTGTATCGATTTCCCCCCCCAGTCTCTGCTGTAGAAAAGGTTCTTAGTTCCTGGGTAAAATTGCTGCAGTGGAAACGAGAAGGATCCAGCTGCAGACAAAGTTGACGGAAGTTGAACTTCCATATACGGTTCTTCCCAGAAGCCTCCGCGCACAAAACGTGATGCCGTTAATCTCGTCCCGCGTACGATATAGCTCCTACTGCAAAGCGTTTTATTCTTTAGAGGCCAAAAACAGAACTTTAGATATACTTCTGAGAAGTTTTTAGGCGAGAAATCAACTGTGTAGATTTTGAATATCGGCAAATAAAAAGTGTATTCAAACGTTTTTGGAGTTGAGAAGCTCCGCTAGTGCCGACCACGGTGCCGATGGGAGGCTGCACAGCAACACAATGGAGGTTAACCTTACCTGCAGCCGCTCGGCTCACGCAGAGCCGTTAAATAAGATGAGTGTCAACGCAGTAATCAGTGTAGATTATGCGTTAATATTTCCTTTACTATAGTCATCACAGGACGTCGACCGGTTAACCCTACAGCGGTGCCCATCGGCCTCACGGCAGACGTGCTAGCAGGTGGGTTAACCTCCATTGTGTTGCCGTGCAGCCTCCCGTCGGCACTAGCGGAGCTTCTCAACTCCAAAAACGTCTGAACGCACTTTTGATTCGCCGTCAACGCGGCTGTACTTTGCGGGAGTTGCGGCCCAAACGCACAGCGCCACCTGCTGGTGGACGCGTGTCCTGATCTGACTCCCAGTTTGTCTTCTCTCTGTGCAGACTGGTCTCTCAGGGCGACATCCTGACAGTTCCAGCCGAAAACCACCCGGACCTGCTGGAGAACAATTCAGAGGGAATATTCAGGTACACAAACACACACTCCCATCAGCTGAACACCGGAGAGGACGCAGGAGATTATTCTGCCTTCTTAGTGCTGTAGCGACAAGTGGCCCACCGCAAGGAACCGGGCGCCCTTCGCCATTATAAATTCAGATACCACTGAAGGCCGACCTCTGAAGTTAGTTTCAACAGTAGGTACTGGCCTGACCGACTAAATTCAGACAGGAGGTTTAGTCCTCCCTTTTTAAAAAGGAGTACCTGTTCCGCCTCACCAGTGAGCTTATTTAAAAGACAAAAAGGAATTAACAGCAGGGCAAAAAGCTTATATCTAATCAAACATCAACTCACACTTCTGCCCCGAGCTCTAACGGCAGCAACGTGCATAAAGAAATGGACAAACAATCACTGGCTATCAGAAGGTTTCTACATTACTTCCTTGTGTCCTGTAGTCGCAACTCCCCTTTGCTTCAGTTTACAAACAATTCTCCTAATAAGGTAATAAAACATCTCATGCAGGTCTCTCTAACTCATGACCCCGGCACCTACTTCCAGGAAAAACGCCTAAAATAACAAACCCAAAATAAATCGGTAATATCTCCTCAACCATCAGGCCTAGATTCATAATTCTGGTCTCCTTTGGAAGGTCAGAAGCTGAGGAATATAAATCCATTGTACATTCACATATTTACCATTACAGACTACATGGAGATGAAATACAGAAAAAATATATATATTTTCATCCTCGCCTGGTAAAAAAAGCTATTTTAATGCAATAAACCATCAAAACCATCCTAAGGTAGATTATAATGCACCTGGAACACAACTGTAACTGTAAATCTGATGAAAAGAACAGTTATTACACAATCTTTCAAAAATATAGCAGGCGAATGTCCATTTTTGTCCATATTTACTGTTTAAATGTTCACTTTTATTGGGAGTTATCTTCAAAACATTATTTGTCTCCATACAGCCACGTTCCAAATAACATAAAGCTTCCAAAACCTTGAAATATTGATAAAAACGGTCAATATTCCTGTGACCTAAAGCACTCACACGCTTTACAGGCCGCAGCTTGAGAACAGAACATCCTACTGGTCGCCAGCAGAGGCCGATAAACACCGCCTCCGCCAAAGCAAACTCTTCTTCTCTACTTCAATCTGACGACAGAAACAAAACTTATCAGCTCAGCCGACGTCACCAAGATGGCGGCCTGCGAGGACGGTCTTTATTGACACAAACAACCGCTGTTTTTGCCCTGAAAACGGCTAGAACAGCGAAAATCAATCACCTGCTTGGTATCTTCAAAAGCAGAGAAAGGCCTTCCCTGTTGCTGTCAGATCAGCACAAAGCTCCTTCTTTGCTGATCAAAACAATCATCCAGACATCATCAGGGGATACATATAAAATATGTTATCTCAAATGTAGTAATGAATATTATGAACTCAAATGATATAGATTTAAAAGATGAAAACTTGACCCTGGTCTTATTTTCACACCTCTTTTCTCGCCTCCCTTCATGTGAGCGAGATCCGCACAGATGCCCTCAGGGAGACCTTTTTTATTTATCTAAAGAGCCGAGTGTCCAGCAAGCGCCGACTTTCCATTCCTCTTTTTTACTGGAAACCACCATCTATTCTGAAATCTGATCACGTACAACCACAGGTCTCCGGAGGTCGAGCAAAGGTCAGGGCACAAGAGACCGCAGAGACGCATTCAAATATAAAACGGTACATCAGACAAAACATTTCTTACTTTAACTTTGTACTTTTGCAAACGGAGCTAAGCAGTCAACAATTATCAGTCTTAAAACGCAGGTCGTCAGAGTTAAAGCACAGGCGAATCATTTTATGGCTTGTATATGTGCCAGGCAGTCAAACGGTATCTATGAAGACCCCCCAAGAACCAGGACCAGCTGCTTCCAGTGTCCTTTTCTTCACATTTATCTTATTCTCACATCAGTGTTTTCGTCTTAAAATGAACAAGATTTATTTGGTTTATATTCAGTTTTCTAGACTCGTGGGCTAGAATTCATTCCCCCCCCCCCCCCCCCCCGGGTCTCTGAGGCGTGCATTAGATAATCCTAAAGACCTGATCAGCTCTGATCTGCGTTTGATTGCGACACAAAACCTCATCATTCAGTTGTGATTCCAGACGTTCCTCTCTGCTGCTCCGGGTCTTAAACACTAATATGAACATGAACAGTTCGTCACACTTGTAATAAATAAACAGGAAATGAGTTCAAGTGTTTCGTCGACCTGCTCTGTGATGAGTCTGTGTGACCTTTGACCTCTGTCAGGTGTCCAGTGCTGTTCTTCAGAGTGCAGACAGTATGTCCGTCTGCAGAAAGAGAAGAAGAAGAAGGAGGAGGAGGAGCTTACCTGGCCGACAGACAGCACACCTCACTCTACATGGTGACCTTTTTTCTTTCCTACACTTTATTGATCCCTGAGGTGAAATTTATTGTCCTCTGCATTCAACCCGTCCTCACTGGGAGCAGCCACTGTGCGGCGCCCGGGGAGCAGTTAGGGGTTCAGGTCCGTGCTGGACTTGAACCGGCGACCTTCCGGTTCCCAGTCGACTAGCGCCTCGGACCTTCAGCCTGTTGGTATTCAGTTATAGCTGCACGACTCCAGTCACAATGAGAATCATGACTTTCTCCCACAATCCTTAAAAAGTATTTATTGCAGTTCATGTTGTCGTCGGGCAGAAATCAGCTGGTGAAGGACGGCTCATAACAACCAAAGTAGTTTGCTGCCTCTCTTTAAAAAGGGATCTAAATTGTAACTAATACAGAGCTCACCTGAAGCTGGACGTCGTCTCTTTGGCTGGTTTCTGTGACGTTTCAGGTTTTCTCTGTTACTTTTGGTTGCAGGTGATTTTGATTGTCGTCACCACAGAGCAGCTTTTTACAGTAAATGTAAATGCTCTGTGAGAACTGTGGGTGGATATGTGTGTTGGTTGTTCCTAACTGTGCATTCAGTATGAACCCAAAGTAAACATGTTGCTGGAGGTGCCAACCGACGCTAACAACAACAGACAAACACAGTCTGCTTAAACTATCTCTGCACAAACAATTATATCTGGAAGGCTGGAAGAAGTAATTGGATTTAATAACTGGTTGACCCTCCTTGGCAGCAACAATCTCAACCAAACATTTCCTGCAGATCAGACCTGAACAACAGGAATTTTGGACCAATCTTCTTTACATATCTGTTTCAGTTCAGCAATATTCTCGGGATGTCTGGTGTGAACCACTCGCTTGACGTCATGCCACAGCATCTCAGTCGGGCTGAGGTCAGGACTCCGCTCCATAAGGAGTATGTTCTTCTGCTGAAGCCGTTCTGGTGTTGGTTACTTCTGTGCTTTGGGTCCTTGTCCTGTTGCATCATCTCCTGATGAGCTTCAACTGGCGGACAGATGGCCTGACATTCTCCTGCAAAATGTCATGATAAATTTTGGAATACATTTTTCCGTCGATGATAGCAACTCTTGCAGGCCCTGAGACAGCCCCAAACCATGATGCCCCCTCCACCATACATTTGGGATGGATGGTTTTCATGTTGGTGTGCTGTGCCTTTTTTCCTCCACACATAAGGGTTGTGTGTTCCTTCCAAATAAATCAACTTTGGCTTCATCTATTGACACAATATTTAGCCAGTAGTGCTGCGGAACATCCAGACGCTCTTTTGCAAACTTCAGACGTGCAGCAGTGTTTGTTTTTTTTGTGACAGCAGTAGCTTCCTCCACGTGAACTCCATTCTTGTTTAGTGTTTACGTATCGGAGAGTCGTCAACAGAGCATGTTCCAGAGAGTTCTGTGAGTCTTCAGCTGTAACTCTAGGATCCTTCTTAACCTCGTTGAGCATTCTGCGCTGTGCTCGTGCAGCAACAGTGCTGAACTTTCTCTATTTATAGACAGTTTGTCTTACTGATGGACATCAAGACTGTTAGAGACACTTCTGTAACCCTTTCCAGCTTCATGCAAGTCAACAATTCTTAATCTGAGGTCTTCTGAGAGGTCTTTTGGTCGAGGCATGGTTAATATCAGGCAATGCTTCATGGGAACAGTTGTGTTATTTTATAGGGCGGCTCTAACCAACACCTCCAATCTCGTCTTATTGATTGGACTTCAGGTTGGCTGACTTCCCATTAGCTTTTGGAGAAGTCATTAGCTGACGGGTTCACATACTGTTTCTGCACTGTGACTGTTTCCACGCTGTGTTCAATAAAAACATGAAAACATGTCATTATTTGTGTGGAGTTAGTTTAAGCAGACTGTGTTTGTCTGTTGTTGTGACTTAGATGAAAATCAGATCACATTTTATGACAAATTTACACAGAAATCCAGGTAATTCATCAGGGTTCACATACGTTTTCCTGCTACTGTATGTAAACGCAGCGCCCCCAGCGCTCACTTCGCTTTTGGTCTGAAAGAACCATGAGGATGCACCAATGTGACCTTTTGAGTCCTGATAACTGGGCTTTGGGGATCCGCAGATCCGAGATCAGTTGAAAATGAATAAGCTGTGTTCCTCACTCTGAGGACGAGACTGGGAATCATTCTGTTATGTGTGAGGCGACATCAGGCTGGACCCGGACGCCGCTGCTGACGCATTTGCTTGGGACGTCCCCCTCGTCACCGATCCAGCTGTTTGAGTCAGTATGGGGCCGATATCGGTATCAGATCTGTGCATCCCGTGTTGCTCCTCACCATCAGTGGGTTGATGCCGCTCAGGGAGGTGCGTTTGTTTCGATTGAATTGATCCGCCCACGTGTCAGAATCACTGTCGTACGAATCAGGATCTTACTCCCAGTTTGTGTCTCCTCAGCGAGCATCCACCAACAGCCCCGTCCCCTGCTGCTCTGTGGACGGAGCGTCTCTGTGGAGCAGTCTGTCTCCTCCGGGCCTCCAAAAGACCGTCGACCTCCTCGGCAGCATCATCCTCCCGCACCTGCACCGCAGGTAACTGACCGGCCTGTTCTCATAAAGCATGATGGGACATGTGGTCATCGGTGATGTCAGTGTTTTGTGTGGTTGCAGCAGCTCCCTGTCAGGCTGCACCGTCCTGCTTCACGGTCCTGCAGGAAGCGGTAAGATGACGGCGGTCGGCGCGGCGAGTCGCAGACTGAACCTCCACCTGCTGAAGGTAGAACAGCTGATCCTGTCCTCCACTTACACTCACGTTTGTTCAGACATGTGTTTCTTCTTCTTCTCTCCGTAGACTAAAGCGTAAAAACTAGGATTGTGCATCTTCACTGGTCTCACGATTCGATTCCTCGACGCGTCACCTCAAGGGCGGGAATTTCTAGGCACCTCATTACGATTATGAGGCTACGATGCAACTGTAAACAAACAGGATACAGATGTATTTTACTCACTGTTTGCTTTCAAAGTACCAAGTAATCAAAGTATTTGTAACAATCCAAAGTAGTAGTTGAAATGCAGATATTTAATGTTACTTCATGTAATTGTAGCTAACATTACATTATTACAGCGTTATTACTGACCTCTGCTGCTGTTTTTATTTATGAGGCTGCTGTTCTTAACTATTAGTCAGATACGTGTTGAACTACGCACTTTACACTCTGCAGCCATTTATTTTCCACACCACTAGTAAAAACTGTCTGAGAGTTCGTGTCTCCTCAGGCTCTCTGATAGATTTATATTTTATTTATGCAAAGTTCTCTGTTTGACACTTTAAACAGCTTCTTATAGTTTGTTAAATACATGTTGATATTTAACTCCTGCACTATAAAAGAATAGATTTGAATTCAGTATCTGTGAAACAGATGAATGTTTTTTAAATGACTAAAGCATCTTTCTTGTGGGAAGTTTGAAATCCAAAGACATTTAAATTACAGAAACTTCTCGTGTGATTATTAAGAGACTTAAACTAAATCTATATACTTAGTAAAGATCACAGAAAATTAGATGAGTTGTTGACTAATGTTTAGTTAAAATGAGTCCTGGTTTCCAAGTTTGATGCTGTTCTGAGGGAGGGAGAGAGAATAAATGCTCTGTAATCAAATAGGATTTGACCCGTTTTAAATAGAAACTAAATGTTAAATCAGCCTTGATAATGTGTCAGGCCGCCACAAATAAATCAGTGTGTGGGAAACGCCTCCTGTAGAGGTCGTCCAGCTGGATCTTTGCCTTGATGGAGGCCGGGGTGTCAGCATCTGGGACTGAAGGCTGCGGGACATGACGTGAGGCTGCACGCTGCAACGTCATCCTCACTTTGATCACGTGACAAGACCAGTAACAGCTCACGGGTCTCAGGTATTGTGGAGAGTTTAAGATAAAGGCCATAAGAGAGAAAAGGTTTAGTAGTCGCTGATCAACATCCTTTATCCGTCATGGTCCGTGATTTATTATTATTTATTATTGTAGAAAACACTTATGGCTTATTTCAACAACCCGAAACATAAAACGTTGTTGAAACAGCTTCAGATTACAGAAAAGCCAAAAGAAAGAAGGAAACTGTGAGAGTCTTATTCAGGTATCATGTGTTGGAAGGATTTTGCTAAATCTGGTCTGCACAGCAGCTCCGGACCGGCTGGAGGAGGAGGTGCTGTTACACGTTGTTTCAGTTCCACTTCCTGTTGTTACCTGTGTGCAGGTGGACTGCGTGAGCGTGTGCGCTGACACTCCTGCAGCCTCGGAGGTGAAGCTGACCTCGGTGTTTCAGCGGGCCGACGCCCTGCAGCCCTGCATCCTGCTGCTCAGGAACCTGCAGCTCCTGCTCAGACCTCGTGGTGGCGCCGAGGAGGACGGCAGGGTCCCGGCTGCGTTCTGCCAGCTGCTCCACAGCGCCCCCACCAGGTCACTGACTGCCTTTAACCCTCCTACAGTAACATTGATCTGCTGCAGGTGGAGACAGAAATTAGAGGTCTTTCTAACCCACGACAGGAAGTTCCTCTGCCCGCCATCATTTGACCCTGAACTCTCACCTGCTCACATCCTGCTGAGGTTCAGTTCAGAGGAAGTGAACCCTGGTTGTCTTTGTGTTTCAGTGTGGTGGTGGTGGCGACGGTCAGCAGACCTCGGGATCTGTCTGCAGGTGTCATGGCGTCGTTTGTCCACCAGGTGGCGTTAGAGAGTCCCACTGAGGAGCAGCGGCACTCGATGCTGGTCAGCCTGAGCCGAGACCTTCACCTGGGGAGAGACGTCGACCTGGAGAGACTGTCCAAACTCACTGCGGTACGTCACTGTTCAAACATCAGCAATTTGACGACCAGCACACAGGGTCCAGATCAGGGTCCAGCACAGGGTCCAGATCAGGGTCCAGCACAGGGTCCAGACCAGGGTCCAGATCAGGGTCCAGATCAGGGTCCAGATCAGGGTCCAGACCAGCTCAGGGACCAAAAGAGTGTCTGTAAATGTTGAGAACAAACTAAAACCTGTGTGCTGGGTGAAACATCTGGCTTCAGTAACGGTGATTTCTCCACGTCTTCCTCCTCAGGGTTTTGTGTTGGGGGATCTGAGCGCTCTGCTGGTGGCGGCAGGTCGAGCCGCCTGCAGGAGGCTGATTCTCACCTGGTGAGACTAAAGACAGATAATAAGAGCTGTGGCGGTTAAACTCGGTGTCGTTTTTTAAAGTCCTGCTCTATTCCCAGTGGAGGCCGGCAGGAGGAGGATCTGTGCTCCAGTGGAGTGACCATCCTGAACCAGGACTTGACCTCCGCCCTGAAGACCCTGCAGGACGCCCAGTCCACGGCCATCGGAGCCCCCAAGGTGATGAGACCCCGACTGCTGGTTAACTGTAACCTAGCTGCTGATTAACTGTAACTTAGCTGCTGGTTAACTGTAACCTAGCTGCTGATTAACTGTAACTTAGCTGCTGGTTAACTGTAACCTAGCTGCTGATTAACTGTAACTTAGCTGCTGGTTAACTGTAACCTAGCTGCTGATTAACTGTAACTTAGCTGCTGGTTAACTGTAACCTAGCTGCTGGTTAACTGTAACCTAACTGCAGGTTAACTGTAACCTAACTGCTGGTTAACTGTAACCTAACTGCTGGTTACCCGTCACCCTAGTGGCTGGTTAACTGTAACCTAGCGGCTGATTAACTGTAACTTAGCTGCTGGTTAACTGTAACCTAGCTGCTGGTTAACTGTAACCTAACTGCAGGTTAACTGTAACCTAACTGCTGGTTAACTGTAACCTAACTGCAGGTTAACTGTAACCTAACTGCTGGTTAACTGTAACCTAACTGCAGGTTAACTGTAACCTAGCGGCTGATTAACTGTAACTTAGTTGCTGGTTAACTGTAACCTAACTGCTGGTTAACTGTAACTTAGCTGCTGGTTAACTTTAACTTAGCTGCTGATTAACTGTAACCTAACTGCTGGTTAACTGTAACCTAACTGCAGGTTAACTGTAACCTAACTGCTGGTTAACTGTAACTTAGCGGCTGGTTAACTGTAACTTAGCTGCTGGTTAACTGTAACCTAACTGCTGGTTAACTGTAACCTAACTGCAGGTTAACTGTAACCTAACTGCTGGTTAACTGTAACTTAGCGGCTGGTTAACTGTAACTTAGCTGCTGGTTAACTGTAACCTAACTGCTGGTTACCAGTCACCCTAACTGCAGGTTACCCGTCACCCTAGCGGCTGGTTAACTGTAACCTAACTGCTGGTTACCCGTCACCCTAACGGCTGGTTAACTGTAATTTAACTGCTGGTTACCCGTCACCCTAGCGGCTGGTTACCCGTCACCCAAGCGGCTGGTTAACTGTAACCTAACTGCCGGTTACCCGTCACCCTAGCGGCTGGTTAACTGTAACCTAACTGCCGGTTACCCGTCACCCTAGCGGCTGGTTACCCGTCACCCAAGCGGCTGGTTAACTGTAACCTAACTGCCGGTTACCCGTCACCCTAGCGGCTGGTTAACTGTAACCTAACTGCCGGTTACCCGTCACCCTAGCGGCTGGTTAACTGTAACCTAACTGCCGGTTACCCGTCACCCTAGCGGCTGGTTAACTGTAACCTAACTGCCGGTTACCCGTCACCCTAGCGGCTGGTTAACTGTAACCTAACTGCCGGTTACCCATCACCCTAGCGGCTGGTTAACTGTAACCTAGCTGCTGGTTAACTGTAACCTAACTGCCGGTTACCCGTCACCCAAGCGGCTGGTTAACTGTAACCTAACTGCCGGTTACCCGTCACCCTAGCGGCTGGTTAACTGTAACCTAACTGCCGGTTACCCGTCACCCTAGCGGCTGGTTAACTGTAACCTAACTGCCGGTTACCCGTCACCCTAGCGGCTGGTTAACTGTAACCTAGCTAACTGTAACTTAACTGCTGGTTAACTGTAACCTAGCTGCTGGTTAACTGTCACCTAGCTGCTGGTTAACTGTAACCTAGCTGCTGGTTAACTGTAACCTAACTGCAGGTTAACTGTAACCTAACTGCTGGTTACCCGTCACCCAAGCGGCTGGTTAACTGTAACCTAACTGCTGGTTACCCGTCACCCTAGCGGCTGGTTAACTGTAACCTAACTGCCGGTTACCCGTCACCCTAGCGGCTGGTTAACTGTAACCTAACTGCCGGTTACCCGTCACCCTAGCGGCTGGTTAACTGTAACCTAACTGCCGGTTACCCGTCACCCTAGCGGCTGGTTAACTGTAACCTAACTGCCGGTTACCCGTCACCCTAGCGGCTGGTTACCCGTCACCCTAGCGGCTGGTTAACTATAACCTAACTGCCGGTTACCCGTCACCCTAGTGGCTGGTTACCCGTCACCCTAGCGGCTGGTTAACTGTAACCTAGCTAACTGTAACCTAGCTGCAGGTTAACTGTAACCTAACTGCTGGTTAACTGTAACCTAGCGGCTGGTTAACTGTCACCCTAGCGGCTGGTTAACTGTAACCTAACTGCTGGTTACCCGTCACCCTAGCGGCTGGTTACCCGTCACCCTAGCGGCTGGTTACCCGTAACCTAACTGCTGATTAACTGTAACCTAACTGCTGATTAACTGTAACCTAACTGCTGGTTACCCGTCACCCTAGCGGCTGGTTACCCGTCGCCCTAGCGGCTGGTTACCCGTCGCCCTAGCGGCTGGTTAACTCTCTGTGTGATCAGATCCCTGATGTGCGTTGGGAGGACGTTGGAGGTCTGCAGCAGGTGAAGAAAGAGATCCTGGACACTGTTCAGCTTCCTCTGCAGCGTCCAGAGCTCCTGTCTCTGGGTCTGAACCGGACCGGAGTCCTGCTTTACGGACCACCAGGGACGGGGAAAACTCTGCTGGCCAAAGCCGTGGCTACTGAGTGCTCCATGACCTTCCTCAGGTAGGAACACCTTCACCTTCCTCGACACAGACGGCAGGAAACAGATCCCAACATCTTGAGATTGTTCAGATCTAATCAGTCTCTAACTGCAGTTTGCTGGATTAAAGGAACCAGAGGGAACTACTTAAAAGATGAATCTGTACGTGGATAATTCCTTTTTAAAATAATATGATTGAACTCTACTCCACGTTTGATAAACCGCTTCCTTGGAGGCAGGTTGTGTGTCTGATACCAGGACTTGAAATATTAGAACACGGTCAGAACTGATCCGCAGGACATGATGCATTTATTTTGGTTTTGTCCTCATGTTGCTGCCTTGTGGCTGGAAATGAAGAGACGGCAGCTCTGTGTGCTGTCGCCTTGAGTTTGTTTAGAGGAGGAAGCCTCCTGGATACTGTTGTTCTGTCAGCTAAAGAAAGAAAGCTTTGTTCTGTTTTCTACCGGAGTACAAACTGGAAGTTCTTAAAGCTTGTTTAGTAGCTTTTAAATGTGCCAGTCAGGTCTTCTCCTGACATATAAGATACTAATGCTAATCCCCCCCCACGTTTAATGACACCAACAGTGTAATGAAAACCACACCTCAGGAGTTTTAATGCACACACGCAAAACAAAAATGCTTTTTAAGAAAACTCAAATTGTCCTCTCAGAGTATCGGCGTTCAGTATTCTCTTGGTAAGGAAAAAACACAAAATAGGTTCTTTCCAATCGATTCACAAAAGCACAAAAGTTGGTCTTTTCAGTTCATTCAAAGTAACAACATAAATTCATCCCAGTCTTCCAGCAAAATCAATTAATCACAAAATTAAGGTTCGAGTGGCAACACACACACACAGAAAGAAAAACCAGCTGGGCAACAAAGAAAATGCTTTCTGGCGGTCCGCTGGCAGAAAGATCCTGGTCTGGGCATTTGGTTACGGCGTTTTGGCTTTATGCCGGTAAGTAGATGCGGGATGATACGAACAGTAACGAGGCCGAAGCTTGTGTAGATGATTAAAATCTTGTTTTACACACGTTTACTCACAAGAAAAAATAGTTTTTTACTCCGACGCAATCAGGCTCAATTCACTGTCCTCTTCCCCTTTCGCTCCTTTATTCACGGGGAAGATACCGCTGTGGCGCATAGCGAATCAGAGCGGGTGGGCGTTGTCGGCGTTCCTCACAAGGGCGGTGCATTCTGAGTACAACAGGTTGTCACAGGGCGTGTGAAGGACGAGAGAGAGAGAGATGGCTTCTCTTTCACAATTTACAGGCTCCTGTAGACACAATGCACTTATTAATGGCCTTCTGGCTTCCTCTTAAGCTGTGTTAATTCCTGCGAATTCGCTCCGGGCGGCGCGAAAGAGGCGTTTGTCGCGACATCCGCTGGTTCGCACGAGTCAAATTTTTCAACTTGGGTGAGAAATTCGCTTGACGCGATGTTGCAAAAGCCAATCAGCGGTGAGATTGTCCAAACGTCACCGGCGGCTTCAGAGCGTTGCTTGGAGAGGACGAGACGAGCGGTGTCGTGACAATCCGCTGGCCGACGGGGAGCAGCGCTGCAGCTTTCAGACAGATTAACCCCCGTAGTCGTTCTGGATTCTGCTCTGACAGCTACGCCGTTTACCCGCAGGAGGAGCTCAGAGTCAACTGCTTTTAGTAAATTACAATTTGCGCGCGCTTCTCAGCAGCTTCCGTTAACACGTCTGGGTCCGCTGTTGTTGTTAGCTACCTGGTCCCTCAGCGGTGGAAAACGAGACTGCAGACAGCTTCATGTTTTAAAATACATCACAAATACATTAGTTTAACATCACATCATGTGCACAGTGCTCACAGAGAGCCATTAACACTGTCCAGAGAATATTAAATGCAACAAATCCGTAGAAACACTGATACGTAACATCAGACAATATGCCTTGAAAGTTATAACGTAAATGGTTCAATTTCCAAACAAAACGGTACGTTGGCCCAGCGGCACTTTTCCACCCTCAGCGGTGCAAAATGAGACAGAGCGCTACGGAAGCCTAGGAGGTTCAGACGGGATGGCGTGCAGCTAGGGTCATTTCCACAGGGATCATTAGCAAAAATGAAGAGAAATATAAATAACTCAATGAGATAAAATTCACAAATATTCAATAAAACCATTAAGTGATAAATAAAATGTGTGTGAAAGAGCATTTTTCTCTGTTACATTTGCATATTTTTTTGCGGGCTGTGTAAGAACATGTAAAGATCCTGAAGCCACTTTAATGCAGCTGACTTTAAATTCCTTGAACCTGTTTGTGTTTCAGTGTTAAAGGTCCGGAGCTCATCAACATGTACGTGGGTCAGAGTGAAGAGAACATCAGAGAAGGTTTGTATTGTGCTAGATTTGAGTTTTATTTTGTACACTTTTGTTCATCTTTTCTATCAGTAGTAATAATGCAAAGTGAAAAACTTTGTTTTTGCTTCAACCTGGAAGTCAGGGTAGTATTGCGAAACACGGCTCAGAGTACGTCCATGAAACAAGCTTTTTTTTTGCGGCGGACAGGCTCAGATTGTTGTTACAAACTTATGAAAATATCCCTCCAAAGAGACTTTTTTAAAGAGATCTTTTTTGTTTAACCAGAAACAGCAGCTCTATCGCTCTCGTCAAAGCCACCAGACTGCATTGATAAAAACAGTAATTCTACCTCACATAGACAGAAAAGTTTGATATCTGAGATCTGTGAACTCTTTTTGGAAGAGAAAACTGAGACGAACAGTAAAACAATGATTCATCTTCCTGCTAAACCTTTGACTCGCTGTTCCTGTAGTTGTGCATGTTTGTTTGTTGAACATCAAATAAAACGATAAAGCATAAAAAGAATGAACTGAATTTCAGATTCTCTTTAAAAAAAACTATTGAAATAACAACAAAAACACCAGCTGCAGGCTAGGTTTTCAAAATAAAAGCCTCAGAATGTAACAGGAGTTTATGGCTGGCTTGAAGACTTTCAAAATAAAAATCTGTTTCCTTCTTTTACTGTAGTTCAGCTTCATGCACCAACTTTTCACGAAGTGCATTGTTTTTAGTAATATGTTGTTTCAGCAATGTAAATATGCCAGAATTAGCCCAAAGTCTATTTCCCATCTGTTGTCCCCGGCAGGGACGCAGCGATTACAGGATTTCACTATTAATCTTGCTTTAAAACATCACAGTTAAAAGCTTGCTGTTAAAAGGTTCCTGCTAAAGGAGCGAATACCTGCATTAAACTTGATGCAGCGCCCAGCTTTGCACGCGGCGCCCAAGTAAAGGTCATACATAATAACGGAGTTTAATAGCGTACAGTCGAGGTGAGAGTCGAACTTCCGGTGCAGCGTAAACAAACAAAGCAGGTGTTGCCTTTCAGACGACAGCACCGCTGCGCTATGAGGCCCGTTATTTTCAATAGCTTGTGCCGCGCTCGGGCGGTTTGTTGCTGCGTTAAGCAGCGCACGGCGAGCTCAGCGCACGGCGAGCTCAGCGCACGGCGAGCTCAGCGCACGGCGAGCTCAGCGCACGGCGAGCTTTTATGGTTTTAAGTTTTTATGGACTGCAGACCTTCAGTCACTGAACATTTAACGTTAAATCGAGCTGTCGCCTCCTCCTGTCTGTGTTGGTGTAAAACACTAACAAAACATCAGGAGCTTATAAACGTTCAGGACTGAAGACTTCCAGTTAACTGCATTTCAGTTATTAACACCGCAAGAGAGACGTTCTCATTTTCACTAAAACATACGTGTGATGCTGATGACAGCAATTCAGTTTATTCCCCTCCTTTAATATAATTTCCCCTGGGAGATAAATTAAGTTAATATTCCTCTTACATTAATAATCATTACTAGTGTTATTAAATTAATTAATGCGTAACAATCGTGAAACCGTAATTATTTTTACTGACCAACAAAATCTGTAATCGTTGGATCCCTAGTCCCCAGCAGGACGTCACAACAAACAATAAAAACCAATTAAACGTACAACACAATATAAATTTAATATAAGTGTTTACTGAGTTGGGCCCAAATTAAATTTAATTAGTTTGTGAGTGAGAGTTTATTTATCTTGAGACAACTTGTATTGTCTGCAAATAAAATCTCAGTTGAGCGGAGCGCTCGGCGCTTTACGACCTGTGATGGTCACAGAGACTTGATTGACCAGATGTTTGTGAGACTGTAGACTGATGCTGTGTTCAGTGTTCTGCAGAGCGCGCTCGGCAGCTCCCTGCGTCGTCTTCTTCGATGAGCTGGACTCTCTGGCTCCCAGCAGGGGGCGCACTGGAGACTCTGGAGGGGTGATGGACAGGTGAGTGTTTACCGGCTCACTCTCTGCATGACGCGCTTTCCACATCATTTAGTAGTTTATATCCTGAATTACTTTATTAAACGTCTTTTATGGATCATTATCTTGTGTTTTTGTTGCTTTTTGTATTTTCTTTGTCTTTTATTGTGAAGCCCCCTGCAACGTGTTTCAATAAAGTTTGATTGAATGTCCCTGTGCAGAGTCGTGTCCCAGCTGCTGGCCGAGCTCGACACTCTGCACTCGTCCGTCGGCGTTTTTGTGATCGGAGCCACAAACCGTCCCGACCTGCTGGACCAATCGCTGCTGAGGCCCGGCAGGTCAGAGGTCGCACACCTGTGTCTGCTGTGACGCTGTCGACTCAGACTCACCTGAAGCTCAACTTGTCTTTAGATATCTTTTATTCTTTCTGCTCGTTTCCATTTACTGTACATCAGAATTCAACAAGCAGAAATTGAACTAGATAGAATGAAGAATTGTTAAAAATGTACAGATGAGTAAAATAAGAAATGCAGACTTGCAGTTCAAATTAAAAATAGCAGAACTATATAAAGACTGCAACGCCGACTGCATCCCATCTATCATCCGTCATATTGAATCAAATTTGACCTTGAAAGTCTGGAAACTCGTGCATTATAAACACCGGTCAGGTTTTTGTCTTAAAATAAAACGCATGATGTCGGCGTCTCTCGTGTCCCCTCCAGGTTTGATAAGCTGGTCTATGTTGGGATCAACGAGGACCGGGTCTCTCAGCTGCAGGTTCTGCAGGCCATCCTCAGAAAGTAAGAACAGCGCGGTCCCTACCGGACCACAGCACACGAACAGTTGGTCTGGATCAGGAAAAAAACTTCATGAAGTCCTGAGAGATGATTCGGTTTTTTTAAAAAAGAATTTATGCACCCAAGATCTGAATCCTGGGACCAAAGATAATGAATGAAAAGTAACATAATAACTGGGCTCCACGTGTGATTAGTCTTAATGGTGTTGTGTCTGAAACTGGATGCCTTCAATCCCTCCAGGTTCCAGCTGGACTCTGCTGTGGACCTGCATGATGTGGTGGATCGTTGCCCCGCTCACATGACCGGCGCCGACCTGTACGCTCTCTGTTCGGACGCCATGACGGCCGCCATCAAGAGGAAGATCGCCCTCATCGACGACGGTGAGAAAACACAAAAAAGAAGCGGATTTAAAGTTGAAATTTTCAACCACAAAAACTACAGAGACGATCACGCTTCTTATTTTTGTTGTTGCAACAGGTGAACAGGGTTCAAACGACTGTAGAGCTCCAACAGTGCCTCTATTACACAGCGCACTCGCTCATAAACTCACCAAACCGTTAAATCAAAGTGCCAGATATAATGGTTTAAATCTATGAGGCCTTTTTTAGACTTTGTATTTGATCTTGGTTGACGTCTGTCGTGTCACAGTTAATGTTTTTGAAACATTCTGCTTTATTAGTCATCACCTACTTGACATAATAATAATAATTAGCGTCAGTAATGTTATAAGAAAATGCATATTAAATCTTCAGCCGTCACTTCTCTTCGTGTTGTCAGCTTTTATCAGACCGGACGCCACAAAGTACATGAGATTATTCTGTGGACAGTTTCCAGATTCTTTAATCCACAGAGATAAAAACACTTGTTGCATAATTATAGTAAATCATGATGTTAGTTTAACTTGATGATTTCTTAAGTATTTTATTGTAGCAAAGTCTCTAAACTGACTCGACTTACCTTATTTAATGTCATATGTTTTTTAATTTAGGAGAGATAAAGAAACGGGCTGTAATATTTACATACACAATGTGTTATTTGTTTAAGATTTGGGTCAGTGTTTTATTGGTGGTAACTGAACGTCCGTCGTTTCTATAAGAAATAAGATTTGTGAACACGGCAACGTTGTTGGAAAAAAAAACTTTAAAACAGCTGTTTTTTACCCTAGAAACAGAAAACATTTGTGGGGTTAAAGATGTGATGGTAGTGGACCTGCAAGATTTACAAGAAAAAAATTTGAGTGGTAAGTTTACGAGTAAAAAATTATATTCTGACGTTAGAGTGGTACATTTACGAGTAAAAAATTATATTCTGATGTTAGAGTGGTAAATTTACGAGTAAAAAATTATATTCTGATGTTAGAGTGGTAAATTTACGAGTAAAAAATTATATTCTGATGTTAGAGTGGTAAATTTACGAGTAAAAAATTATATTCAATTCAATTCAATTCAATTTTATTTATATAGCGCCAAATCACAACAACAGTTATCTCACAGCGCTTTTCATAAAAGAGCAGGTCTAGACCGTACTCTGTGATGATATTTACAGAAGCCCAACAGTTCCCACCAAGAGCAGCACTAGGAGACAGAGGCAAGGAAAAACTTCCTTTAAGAGGCAGAAACCTCGAGCAGAACCATGGCTCAGGGTGGGCGGCCATCTGCCTCGACCGGTTGGGGTGAGAGAGAGAGAGAGAGAGAAAGAGAGAGAGAGAGAGGGATGTAAGGAGAGAGAGAGGGGAGGGAGGCAGCCTACACAATATACACACAGAGGTACACACAGTGAAGGTAATGTTGCTATAAACTAAATGAAAAATGGTACAGATATTTATAATAGTGTTAATGGTAACCATCGTAATGTTAATGATTATAATAACAATAAGACTAGCAACAATAGTCGTTGCAGTAGAGGGTGTCGAGCAGGAACACGGGGGCAGCAGGCGACCCGCAGCCACAGATCCAGACTCCACAGCTCCAGAGCCAGAAAACCTGCAGGAAGTGATAGGAGGAGAGAGGAGAGGGACGAGAAAGCACAAGACTACCAGAAAGGGGAGAAGTTGTGTTAGTAACATGCAATAATGGGATAAGGTTGCATACAGAGGGAGAGAAAGTAGAGGAGAGAGGAGCTCAGTGCATCATGGGAAATCCCCCGGCAGTCTAGGCCTATAGCAGCATAACTAAGGGATGGTTCAGGACTACCTGAGCCAGCCCTAACTATAAGCTTTATCAAAGAGGAAAGTCTTAAGCCTACTCTTAAATGTGGAGATGGTGTCTGCCTCCTGAACCCAAACTGGAACCTGGTTCCACAGGAGAGGAGCTTGATAGCTGAACGCTCTGGCTCCTAGTCTACTTTTGGAGACTCTAGGAACCACAAGTAACCCTGCATTCTGGGAGCGCAGTGCTCTGGTGGGGTAGTAAGGTACTATGAGCTCTTTAAGATAAGATGGTGCCTGACCATTAAGAGCTTTGTAGGTAAGAAGAATGATTTTAAATTCTATTCTGGATTTTACTGGAAGCCAATGCAAAGAAGCTAAAACAGGAGAAATGTGATCTCTTTTCCTGGTTCCTGTCAGAACACGTGCTGCAGCATTCTGGATCAGCTGAAGAGTCTTAATGGACTTTTTCGAGCAGCCTGATAATAAGGAATTGCAGTAATCCAGCCTAGAAGTAACAAATGCATGGACTAGTTTTTCTGCATCATTTTTAGACAGGATGTTCCTGATTTTCGCAATATTACGTAGGTGAAAAAAGGCGGTCCTTGAAATTTGCTTAATGTGGGACTTAAACGACATGTCCTGATCAAAGATAACTCCAAGATTCCTCACAGTGGTGCTGGAGGCCAAGGCGATGCCATCCAGGGAAACTATATCTTTAGATAATGCGTCACGGAGGTGCTTAGGCCCCAGAACAATAACTTCAGTTTTATCTGAGTTTAACATAGAAAATTACAGCTCATCCAGGTTTTAACATCCTGAAGGCACATTTGAAGTTTAGCTAACTGATGAGTTTCATCTGGCTTGATCGATAGATATAACTGAGTATCATCTGCATAACAATGAAAGCTTATGGAATGTTTCCTGATAATATTGCCTAAAGGAAGCATATATAAAGTGAAGAGGATTGGTCCAAGGACAGATCCTTGAGGAACTCCATGAGTAACTTTGGCGTGCATGGAGGACTCATCGTTAACATGTACAAACTGAAATCGATCTGATAAATAGGACTTAAACCAGCTTAGAGCGGTTCCTTTAATGCCAATGAAATATTCCAGTCTCTGCAATAGGATCTGATGGTCAATGGTATCAAATGCAGCACTAAGATCTAATAAAACCAGTACAGAGACAAGTCCTTTGTCTGATGCAATAAGGAGGTCATTAGTAATTTTCACCAGTGCTGTCTCTGTGCTATGATGAGCTCTAAATCCTGACTGAAAATCCTCAAATAAACTATTGCTCTGTAGAAAGTCACACAGCTGTTTAGCAACTGCTTTCTCCAGAACCTTAGAGAGAAATGGAAGGTTAGATATAGGTCTATAGTTTGATAAAACATCCGGATCAAGTTTGGGCTTTTTCAGAAGAGGTTTAATTACAGCTACTTTAAAGTACTGTGGTACATAGCCTGTTGATAAAGATAGATTGATCATATCTAGTATAGAGGTGCTGACTAAGGGTAAAACATCTTTAAGCAGCCTAGTCGGGATGGGGTCTAAGAGGCAGGTTGATGGTTTAGATGAAGAAATTATTGAAGTTAGTTGGTAAAGATTGAGGGAAGCAAAACAGTCTAAACATGTATCTGGTTCTACAGCTGTTTCTAAGGTTCCTGAGTTAGAGATAAGTCGGTGCCAGTTGAGGGCAGGTCTTGGTGAATTTTGTCTCTAATAGCTAGAATTTTATCATTAAAGAAGCTCATGAAGTCGTAACTACTGAGAGCTATGGGAATACTTGGCTCAATAGAGCTGTGACTCTCTGTCAGCCTGGCTACAGTGCTGAAAAGAAACCTGGGGTTGTTCCTATTTTCCTCTATTAATGACGAGTAGTACGCTGCTCTGGCATTACGGAGGGCCTTCCTATAAGTTTTAAGACTATCTTGCCAAATTAAACGAGAATTTTCCACTTTGGTGGAACGCCAATTCCTCTCAAGTTTCCGTGATATTTGCTTTAATTTGCGAGTTTCAGTATTATACCATGGAGCTAACCGTCTTTGTTTTAGTGTTTTCTTTTTTAGAGGGGCTACAGAGTCGAGTGTCATTCGCAGCGAGCCTGCAGCACTATCAACAAGATGATCGATTTGGGAGGGACTGAAATTAGCATAGGAGTCCTCCGTTACTTTGTGACTAGATAATGTATTTAGAGCTGATGGAATCGCATCCTTAAATTTAGCTATAGCACTATCAGACAGACATCTTGTATAGAAATTTTTGCCCAATGGCGAGTAGTTCAGCAATACAAACTCAAAAGTTATCAAACAGTGGTCGGATAAAGAGGGATTCTGTGGGAACACCACTAAATGTTCAATTTCAATACCATACACCAAAACAAGGTCAAGGGTGTGGTTAAAACAGTGAGTCGGTTCATGAACACTCTGAGAGAAGCCGATGGAATCTAACAAAGAGATAAACGCAGTACTGAAGCTGTCATTCTCAACATCCACATGAATATTAAAATCCCCTACAATAATAACTTTGTCCGTTTTAAGGACTAAAGTTGACAAAAACTCTGCAAATTCAGATAAGAATTCAGAGTACGGGCCAGGTGCTCGGTACACTATAACAAAAAGAATTGGTTGCAGTGATTTCCAACTTGGGTGCGAAAGACTAAGAACAAGACTTTCAAATGAGTTATAGTTTGGTTTAGGTTTAGAGCTGATTAGTAGGCTAGAGTCGAAGATAGCTGCAACTCCACCTCCTCGGCCTGTGCCTCGAGGAATGTGAGTATTAATATGACTGGGAGGGGTGGATTCATTTAGGCTAACATATTCTCCATCACCCAGCCAGGTTTCAGTAAGACCAAATAAATCAATATCATAATCTGATATTAGTTCATTTACTAGTACACCTTTAGAAGAGAGAGATCTGATGTTTAAGAGTCCACATTTAACTCTCCTATTTGTTTGCACTATTGCTCTTGTGGTTTTAATTTTTATAAGGTTTTTATGCACAGCTCCTCTTCTGTTTACCTTTTTAAATAATTTCGATGGTCGGGGGACAGACACCGTCACTATAGGGTTTTCACTAAGTAACTCCTGAAATGGAGGAGCAGAGAAGTGTGTTAGACTGCGACTCTGCGTAGGGTTTTGGGTGGGTAACTGCTGAAAAGAAGGGCAGAGAAGTGTGTTAGACTGCGACTCTGCGTAGGGTTTGGGTGGGTAACTGCTGAAAAGAAGGGCAGAGAAGTGTGTTAAACTGAGACTCTGCCTCCTGGTCTCAACTCTGGGTTGTCATGGATTTGGTCCACTAATAAACTTGGCCAGATTTCTAGAAATGAGAGCTGCTCCTTCCCAAGTGGGATGGATGCCGTCTCTCCGGATCAGACCAGGTCTTCCCCAGAAAGTCTGCCAATGATCAACAAAGCCCACATCGTTTGCTGGACACCACCTCGACAACCAGCGGCGGAATGACGACATGCGGCTATACATGTCATCACTGGTCAGATTTGGCAGGGGTCCAGAGAAAACTACGGTGTCCGACATTGTTTTTGCATATGTACACACCGACTCAACATTAATCTTAGTGACCTCCGATTGGCGTAACAGGTAGTCATTACCGCCGACGTGAATAACAATCTTACTGTATTTACGTTTATCCTTAGCCAGCAGTTTCAAATAAGACTCAATGTCGCCCGCTCTGGCCCCAGGGATGCACTTAACTATGGCCGCTGGCTTCGCTAAATTCACGTTTCTCAAAATGGAGCTGCCAATGATCAGAGTTGGTTTCTCAGCGGGTGTGTCGCTGAGTGGGGAAAATCTGTTAGAAACGTGAACAGGTTGATGATGCCCCGTGGACTTTGAATGCTTACGACTATTCCTCCTTCGGACAGTCACCCAGCCCCCCTTTCCTGGCTGCACAGGAGATGCCGGAGGACGGCTACCACAGGCTAACTCAGGCCGTTCCGCACCGACTACCGGGGACTGGCTAGCTACAGTAGCTAAAGACTGATCTACCAGGGTGCGGAGCCGAACTTCTAAATCACTGAGCCTCGCCTCCATGTCTATAAATAAACTACACTTATTACATGTACCATTACCGCTAAAGGAGGCAGAGGAGTAACTAAACATCTGACACACCGAGCAGGAGAAAGTAGGAGAGAGAGAGGGAGAAGGAGAAGCCATCGCTAGCTGCTAAGCTAAAGTCGCTAACGGCTAAGCTAAAGTACTGCAGCATTAGCTACCAAAACTTTAGAACAACTATGAGATTGAACAGCAGTCACTAAAAGATGGAAAGAACTGTGAGTGCTTAGGCAAAATTACTGTAAAGAATAAGTGTTTAGCGAACAGTTGGCCGCTGTAATCAAACAAATGTAACTGTTATTTAGCGAGAGCAACAACACGGTACCAACACACAAGCACCGGAAACGGAAATGAGTCGACACGCTTACCGCAATACGTCAGCACGTCATGCAGTCCCAAACTGCCACCAGTCGATTCATTATATTCTGAGGTTAGAGTGGTGAATTTACCAGTAAAAAAATTATATTCTGAGGTTAGAGTGGTAAATTTACGAGTAGAAAATTATATTCTGACGTAAGAGTGGTAAATTTACGAGTAGAAAATTATATTCTGAGGTTAGAGTGGTAAATTTACCAGTAAAAAAATTATATTCTGAGGTTAGAGTGGTAAATTTACGAGTAGAAAATTATATTCTGACGTAAGAGTGGTAAATTTACGAGTAGAAAATTATATTCTGAGGTTAGAGTGGTGAATTTACGAGTAAAAAATTATATTCTGACGTTAGAGTGGTGAATTTACGAGTAAAAAATTCACAAATTTACAAAATAAAATCTCTGATATTCTGGGATTAAAGCACACAATTTTAAATAAAAACTCTTATATTTTCTGAGAGTAAAGTGGTAAATTAACAGGATAAAACTAAAAAATTTACAAGTAAATTGAAAATAAGTGGACCTGGTTCAGCCCAGATGTGCAGTCGAGGCTCGTCTGTCTACATTCACACTTTATCGGTCTTTCTCTCAGGTCTGGACTCGGAGGACTCGCCTGTACTCGTCTCCGTTGAGGATTTCTCGGCAGCATTAGAAAACTTCAAGCCGTCTGTTTCAGACCAGGAGCTGCTGCGATACAAAAACATTCAACAGAGACTCACAGCAAAGTAGAAACTTCGTAGAAAATCGTCATCAATCAGTCGCTGATGATGATCATGATGATGACCACTCTTCAACACCTTACGGGATGTTTTAAGAACTGATGAAGGTCTAATTAAAGTGCCAACCACCAGAAATCAACATTGTGATAAACTGTAGATGATGTAAATGATGTAAACAAGAGGAGAAGTTATACAATTGTGAAATGTAATGTACACAAGTTAAATTAAACGTGTGATTTGAGGTTATTTTGACAGTACATCAAAAGGGTCAGATCAGCCAATAAGGTTGAGAGTTTCTTCATGCCCCAGACAAGGTTTGTGTGGCTTTTCAAAAAAAATAACTCTCGTTAACAATTACTGGATTAATATGGTGACATACCTGTTCTGCTTTTATTACTAATATGACCATAACCAATGTTAATTATACTGAATCAGTGATGTATGTTGTAAACAAATCACTGCAGTGAATAAAACTATAGTATAAAGATAGAAAATTTCAGTGGATCATATAGTATAGTATCATAATCTGTCAACCTTTGCGTAAATTGTGTTGAGCAAACCATGACATTCAACACCAGAATCTCCAACAATTAAGCAGTGCTTAAAATAAATTAAAAAAGTTTTTTAAAAATAATTTACAATTAAAAAACCTGACATTCTGAGATTAAAGCGGTAAATTTAGGAGTAAAAAAATCTCAAATTTATGTAAAAAAACAATTCTGAGATTAAAGTTATAAATTTACGCGATAAAACTCAATTTTACGAGTTAAGAACTGACTGAATGTGATGTTCTCTGCAATTAAAGTGGCAAATTAACAAGATAAAGCAAAAAAATTTAATTCGAGTAAAAACTAATGTACAAATTCTGAGATTAGAGTGGTAAATTTACGAGATAAAAGTAACGTATTTCATAGTAAAAAAATTATTTACGATTAAAAAACACAAATTTACAAAATATTGATATTCAAAAACTTTTTTTCAACAATGTGTAAAATAAACTCATTTATAAAAAGTGGTAGCCATTAATTTACAAATGTAAAAAATTTGAAACAATTACAAATTTATAGTAAAAAAGCCCAGAAATGTAAGAATAAATATTTATAAATGTATCAGTATATGCACAAATTCTTGTAAATTTACAAGTAAAAAAACTCAGATTTACAAAATAAAATCGCTGATAGTCTAATAGTAAAGTGGTTATTCTATATTCTTAAAAGTGGTAAATTTACAGAATAAAACTTAACAAATTTACGAGTAAAAAAACTAATTTACATTTAAAAAACTTGCAAATTTACAAAATAAAATCTCTTGATAGTCTGAGAATAATGTGGTAAATTTCTGAGTCAAAAACTCAAATTTTTTATCAAAAAGAGTTCTAAGTGGCAAATTTACAAGTAAAACTTATATATTCTTTGAGATTAAAGTGGTATATTTAGAAGATAAAGTATATCTGAGGTAAAACTCACATTTAATCTCAAATTTATAAGTAAAATAACCTCACAAATTTACGACTAAAAACCTTGGAAATTCTCTGAGATAAAAGTGGTAAATGTACAAATTAAAACTCAGATTTATGAGTAAAACTAGATTTAGTCAGTAGGGTTATATACAGTACATTTATTCTTTTAGCTGACGCTTTTATCCAAAGCAACTTACAATTACTATATATGTCAGAGTTCGTACGCCTCTGGAGCAACGATGGGTTAAGTGTTTTGCTCAAACGTTAGCGTTAGTTTCAGTAGTAAGTTAGGTAACGTTAGCATTAGCCAACTAACATTACATTAAGAAAAAGCCACAGCCGACATTTTTCGGAATTTGTTTTAGGAAAGAGGAAAGAGAATAAATCGTACTTCTCTGGGTAGCTGCTGTAACAGGAACAGCGTTTGCTAGAAAACGACTCTTTTTGCATTAGAGTGAACGGAGCGCAGCCATGAAAGTGTCGCTCAGTTAGAGCTAAACCTATACTGTGCTGTGATTGGCCAGCTGCATATTCGGGGCGTGGCTTAGCGAAGGGTCAATTATGTGAGAGCTGTCATGTAAGTTAAAGAAAATAGTCATGAAACTTAAAATAATGATTCTGATTTTTATCATTTCAGTCAAAACTAAAAATGTAGTATTTTTTTATCCAGTATAAATGGTTCTGTTAAATGCAAGTGGTCAGACAACGAAGAAGCTGCTACGAGATTCAATCAAAATACATCAAATCATCAAGGCCGCTGCATACAACTATTTACTTAATAAGACTATAACATAAGTTATTAAATTTCAGTGGACAATATAATCTGTTAACTCTTGCTGAAAATGTCTTTTGCACGACATTCGAAAAACTTTTGGCAACTGGAAGTTTTTGCTTTACAAAGTCATGCTGGGATGCTACGCTATACACAGCTAGCCACTTTTATTTTCAGAATCACCTCAACAAATAAAGCAGTGCAGAAAAGAGGAACCCAAACAGCAAAAATTATCAGCAGCAGTAATAGATGTAACTAAACTTTTCCCCGTCCGGTGGCGAGCAGCCTCTAAACAAAATGTCAGCTGAAAAATACAGTAAACAGTAAATGCATATGCCACACTGCTACTAGTCAAAGATGCTCTTGTTCCCTTCAAAATCTTGAAGCACATTAGCATGTCAGGATGTTTTTCACATTCTGCTGTGAAATGCATCTGTTAGTATAGTTTAGCCAGTTAGCTAACTGTACTACTACTGGAAAGCTAACATGTACAGGTAGCATAACAACTAGATGTTTCCTGCTCGTTCCTCCCTGAAAGCCCCCCCAACCCCATCACAGTTACTGATGCATTACTTCTACCATACGTCATAACATGTTATCACACATTTCTTCATCGTCATTAGCCATAGAGCTAGCACTGGCTAGTGAGCTCACTTGTTAGCTGCCACTTCTGCTACCTTGGCCAGTCTTAATTTGCACCCTTCCATACTTACACTTACTATTTTAAGAGCATAACTGAGAAGTATGGCAAAATGCAACGCACTTATAGCGGTCATAAGGATCTGTGTAGCACGCTGCACTTCTCACCCTCAACAGTCGCCATCTTGGCTACGTAGCAGAGGGGAAGTGACTACCAATGTCTTTTCAAACTTGTGAAAATGGTAGGCTGCAGCAGCTGTGATTGCAAAAAGTAAAGTTTGTTTTAATTCCTTTTTAATAAAACTGACTTGAAGTCAAGAGAGCAAACAAGCTGGCAGATAAGTGACAATGGCGGTCAAATGATGGCAATAATGATCCGTCCGGCTACAATTCGACCTTTAAATAGAAGAAGAAGAAGAAATTTTTTGATCGATTGATTAGTGCACAACCACAGTGTTTGACACTACCCTGACAAAACGTACGCAATGAAGTACATATTACACAGTGTACTGCATGTAAGTGTACTAACAAAAGAGATTTTCGATCTCAATGGAGAAAAAAAATCATTTGAATGCGGGAAATTATCTGTCCAACTTTAAAACTTGGCTGTGCTTTATGTTTTGTAAGGTAGTAAAATGCTAAATGGAGAAAACTAGCTGAATGAATTATTACACCAAACCATGTGTGAAGAAGCATTTTGGATTCGACACCACAGATGGTAGTAACATTTAGCTTACCTAACAAATGTTCTCTTGTTACCTGTCAAACATCAGCGTTTTTTCAAGAAGTGAATTAGCCTGTCGGAGAACATTCGGGGAAAAAAAGTTCCCATAACTTTCTTTAAACAATCTGAAAGTTTGGTTTTGATGCTCAGAGTCGCCATGGCATGGCAAAGTAAAGCAGAGATAGCGTATGAAATCTGAAGACACCTCAGGAGTAAACATATCCAGAAGCTTCTGAGATGGTGTATTACATAATTCATTTCATTTTGGCCAACCTGTTAATCAATAAATATTCGGTGACACTTTATATTAAGGCAGTGGTTTATTATCTCACTCTTAACAGCAAGTCCATATGGTCAACAAAGATTATAGGTTTCCTTGATGGACGTCACTATAAAGATTTAAGGAATTGCCTAGAATGCACGTTTATCAGATTTCTTAAAATCTTTTAAAAAGTTGAATGACAGGCAATAAAAAAACACAAGAAGTAGAGATCTTAATATAAAGTGTCATCATGTCGGGTGTGGTTTTTTCAGCTGGTTCCCATCTCAGGGCGTCCAATACCAACGCTTTCAGAACGTCTCTATGAGTCTGTATGAGAAGCTCTGGGGCGTCCCGTACTGACCAGAAGCTAGCTAGATGGCTAGCTACGTTCACGTTAAAGGTGTTGACAGCCCCCCGATGCCCCCTACACTTACCATAACCATCAGAAATGTTACTGCCTAAACCTAAGTCACTGACTTTATCGACCGGCTAACCCCACCTGCAAGCACATCGGCCGTGCGCAGCGTTAGCCAGTTAGCCTCCTTTGTGTTGCTGCAAACGGGGACGTTTCATACGGATGCTGAAGGGTGTCAAATCATTACGCTTTGTCACGCTATCTGAAAGCACTGAGATGAGAATGCGTTGGTTTTTTCACATTTCTTTTGAAGTGAATCCGCACATCCGCCGTGACAATGTACCGAGTAATATCACTTAACAATAGGCAACCGTCAGATTTCACAACTTAGTTAGCATGCTGAACAAAACTTATTCTAATAATTTGAATGCCGGTCTATCCGTGGTGCTGAAAGCTAAAAGAACAAAATGAAGGCTCCACTTGGTCAAAAAAATGAGTTTCCATTTTATTGAATAATTTCTTTGCATCAAATAAATCAAGCTAGTCTGTAAGCACACCATTACATCCCTGTTGGTCAGAGTTTCTGGCTGAGGCCTTCCTCAACCAACCAAATTCTTAATCACTTAAATTTAAAAAGTAATGTAGTTAAAGCAGTGGTTCTCAAACTTCACCCCCCATCAGAAACATCATGCCCCCCACCCCAGCAATAGCGGATCAATCATTAACAATACAGGCATCTGAAAAACTCAGATTAGCAAAATAGCCTTGATAGCTTGTGTTTGTTTATGTCACCACATGAATCGTATTCATGCAACTTAAGGTCCGCTCAACATCCACGACGCCCCTGAAGTGGCTCTACGCCCCCCTGCCCCCTAGTTTGAGAACCACTGAGTTAAAGGATGTTTTCGGCTAGACGCCGTTCAAAATTTGCGTATGTTTTTTTGGCATCAAAGCTGCTGTTGCAAGCAGTGGAAGGATATCTAACCCAGTCACAAACCCTCTTTCCTGAGGGTTGGAAGAAAATATAATCAGTCA